TCGGGCAGGTGAGTATTTGAGCTTAATATCAGTCTTTAAGGAAGATGAGGAGAGTAACGCCGTATGTGGGCCTCACAGGAGATCGTGGAAGGGAGACAGAGGACTGCACACACCTCAGCTGAAGAGTACACGGAGTTTCCACGGAGCTGATGACTGGAACGGACTAGGGAATGGAACACAGGAGAACACACTGGAGGTAAGTATAACAGGCAGGTAAGTCTTTCAATATATCTCACGGCTAGCATAGAGAGAGAGTCCACTTCGTTGAAACGAGACCGGACACTGGAGTGAAGTGAGGTGTGTGCTTTTGAACGGGGAGCTGATGATGATTGCAGATTTGTGACAGGTGCGTGTGATCAGTACTCAGGTGAAGGTGTTCGCTGTGATTGGGAGGTGGCTGAGTCTGGCCGATCTATGACACTCTATGCACACAAATGGGGTAAATCAGCACACACACAGCACAAACAAACAGCATAGTTCACAAAATGGCCCTCCATTAAAGGAAATGCTGTCATCTCTTTTAAGGGAGAGAAGACCAATCAGAGGACGACAGCAATGAGTCTGCAGGAACCAATCAGCAGCAACCTGGGCAGACGCACAAACCAACAGAACAAAACACAACAAAACTAAATTGATTTTTCTGTGTAAAGTTACTGTATATCCAACTGGTTGCCTTTACAATGTAATGCTATAGACTTTTAACAAACACAAAATTAAAGGAACAGTTTTATAGGTAAAATAATACATGCGTTTTAACAGAATAGTTAGGCCTAATCTAAATGTTTTATTAAAAAATATACAAGCTTCACATTTCTGCTTTTAAATGTTCCAAATATAGGCCACATTTACTTCCAATTGTAAATGCTTCACTGGAATTTTGATTATTTTTTATTTTTTTTGTAATCGATACTGAATCTGTTACATTGAAGCATTTTTTAGATTCCCTTTTGTATTGACTTTATATACAGATACAAATTCTAGCACTCACTGCATTACTATGTTTTAGGTGACTTTTCAGTGGAGCTAAAATACTTACAAATACTGTGAAATTGATCACTACTGTTTTTAACACTAAATATAATTTGTGTAAACTGATTTCAACTAACTGAGAATCTAAATTACAGCACTAAGCAAATGATTACACTTGACTTTGTTATAAATGATCCAGAATAACTTTACATCAGCTGTTTTAAACAAACAAACATTATACAACAAAAAGGTTTTGGCTTGTAGACATGGCTTGAACAGCTTCTAATGATTATTGTGTTAATAATTAATAGTTAATAACAGTCATAAACAATAGCAGTTAAGTTTAGAATACAAACATTATTCATAAACGTGGTGGAAGGAGCTTGTGCATGTTATTTGGATGCCTACAATTCAGAGGTCAGTTTTTTGTTGGGTTTTTTTTCAATTGAAAAGCAAAGCGATGACACAGAGGCAATTTGAATAATGATACACACACAGTGTATTTCTTTTGAGTCAAGAATTCTTCTTGCACATTTCAAGTGGCTGAGTGCAGCAGAGAGCAGTATCATCGTAATTGTTTTGTTTTTCGGACCAGCTGATCAGACTAAATTGCAGTGTTCATCACCGGCTCCTCACCAGCACAACCTCAGTGTGAAAATTAAAACCTTGAGCTTATTTTTAATTGAGAGCTATTAATACCCACAAAACCAGAGGCCACCGCAGATGCCTCTTTATCTTCACTCTTTAATGTGCAAAGCAGATGAATTCATTTTCCCATGACTGAGCTTTCAAGACCTCCCCGCCATTATTGGTCTCTGCTCTAATGCTGTAATTTGTCTTGCTGTTATACACTATTAAATGCACAACATTTCCAAATGTTTAACGCTTTATTTTGTTGAAAAGACTGTAAAAGTTTTTTTTATCAAAGTTATGTTGTAACTTAATATTTGTAATAACTTTTTTTATTCTTATCCAAAATAATGGTGACTACATAATGTGATTGGTATCTATTTTGTCTTTTTCTTGCTCTCTCACCACACACACACACACACACACACACAGGTTTGTTTTTATGGTTTATGGGGACTCTCCATAGGCATAATGGTTTTTATACTGTACAAACTGTATTTTCTATTGCCCTACACCAACCCTACCCCTAAACCTACCCCTCACAGGAAACTTTCAGCATTTTTAGATTTTCTAAAAAACTCATTCTGAATTATTTATAAGCCTTTTGAATTACGGGGGCACTGAAAATGTCCTCATAAATCACCTTCTCGTTGTAATGCCTATGTCATACCCATGTTATTATGCAAATTTGTCTCCTCATAAACCACATAAACATGCACACACACACACTCACACTTTCTTTTTGATGTATTTATAACAAATTGAAAAGAAATTTGTAAATTTCCTGATATAGTGAACCACCCCCATCTTGTGGTGGGCATGAAATGTCCACTGTCCAATCCCAGATGTACCTTTCAAATCTTACATTTTTTCATTTTTTTCCACCTATTGATTTTTTATTTTTTATTTTATTTTATTTTGCACAATAATTGTTATACAAAGAGGAATATAGGAAGATACGGAGCGATTACAATTCTAGAGAGAATCTAAATCACAGCACTAACCAAATGATTACACTTGACTTTGTTATAAATGATCCAGAATAACTTTATATCAGATGTTTTAAACAAACAAACATTATACAACAAAAAGGTTTTGGCTTGTAGACATGGCTTGAACAGCTTCTAATGATTATATCATTAATAATTAATAGTTAATAACAGTCATAAACAATAGCAGTTAAGTTTAGAATACAAACATTATTCATAAACGTGGTGGAAGGATCTTGTGCATGTTATTTGGATGCCTACAATTCAGAGGTCAGTTGTTTTTTTTCAGTTGAAAAGTAAAGCGATGACACAGAGGCAATTTGAATAATGATACACACACAGTGTATTTCTTTTGAGTCAAGAATTCTTCTTGAATTATTGTCATTCACTTCACAGCACATTTCAAGTGGCTGAGTGCAGCAGAGAGCAGTATCGTCGTAATTGGTTTGTTTTTCGGATCAGCTGATCAGACTAAATTGCAGTGTTCATCACCGGTTCATACCCACAAAACCAGGGCCACTGCAGATGCCTCTTTATCTTCACTCTTTAATGTGTGAAGCAGATGAATTCATTTTCCCATGACTGAGCTTTCAAGACTTTGAAAAAAACTGAGCTTTTTTTGCTGTAATTTGTCTTGCTGTTATACAGTATTAAATACACAACATTTCTAAATGTTTTAAGGCTTTATTTTGTTGAAAAGACTGTAAAAGTTTTTTTTTATCAAAGTTATGTTGTAACTTAATATTTGTAATAACTTTTTTTTATTCTTATCCAAATAATGGTGACTATGTGATTTGTCTCTATTTTGTCCTTTTCTTGCTCTCTCACCACATACACACACACACACACACACACACACACACACACATGTCTGGTTTGCTATCCTTGTGGGGACTCTCCATAGGCGTAATGGTTTTTCTACTGTACAGACCATATATTCTATCGCCCTACACCAACCCTACCCCTTACAGGAGACTTTCTGCATTTTTAGATTTTCAAAAAACTTAATTATGTGTGATTTATTAGCTTGTTTACCCGTGGGGACCTCAATTTAGGTCCCCACCGTGACACGAGTCCCCATGAGTCTGTGTGTATTCAGGTTTAAGTCCCCACCAGAATAGAAAAACAGGTACACACACACACACACACACACACTTTCTTTTTGATGTATTTATAACAAACTGAAAAGAAATTTGTAAATTTCCTGATATAGTGAACCACCCCCATCTTGTGGTGGGCATGAAATGTCCACTGTCCACTCCCAGATGTACCTTTCAAATCTTACATTTTTTCATTTTTTTCCACCTATTGATTTAAAAAAAAATTTTTTTATTAAATTTTTCTTTTTTTTTTGCACAATAATTGTGATACAAAGAGGAATATAGGAAGATACAGAGCAATTACAATTCTGTGTTACACAAATAAAACAAGCAATTATTTAATGTCTCCAAATATTATTATTTTTTAAATACCCAACAAGAAAGTTACTGTTTGGTCATTGTTTTTAATTTTATTAATAAGAAACAATTATTATTAAATAAATAAATAAATACATTTGCGTGTGTGTGTGTGTGTGTGTGTGTGTGTGTGTGTGTGTGTGTGTGTTTGTGTGTGTGTGAGTGAGTGAGTGAGTGAGTGAGTGAGTGAGTGAGTGAGTGAGTGAGTGAGAGAGACAACATAAAGACAGCATATACAGAATGTTCTCTAATGGTTATTTTTAGGTTTTATTTTATAACCAAAGAGTAACTTTACCAGTATGTTCTGGGGACTAAAAATGGCTAGCTGGGTAGAAACATTTCCATATTCGTGAAAATGTATAAACATATCGGAGTAATTAGTTTTGTATCTAAGGATTGTAAACCTTACTGAATAAAAGGGAAAATAATGTGATAAATGAACGGTTGCTCCCAGACATAGAAAATAAATATGGAACAGATTGATCAATAATTCCTTAAACCATAAACATATTTATTGCTTGTTCTGACCAGTACTTTGCCATTAGTAGTAAACCTTACTGAATAAAAGGGAAAATAATGTGATAAATGAACGTTTGCTCCCAGACATAGAAAATAAATATGGAACAGATTGATCAATAATTCCTTAAACCATAAACATATTTATTGCTTGTTCTGACCAGTACTTTGCCATTAGTTGTCTAATGTTATCATTATAATCTTATTAAACAGAAGGATGCTTGACCGCTAGAAATACTGGCGCTGACCCAATTTAACGGCCGTTTGCCAGAGGCTACTGTCAGTGTCAGCCGTTTCAGCGTCCCGCCTAACTAAGACCCATTTTTACACCTTCATTGATCTATGATTGACAGGAGAGAAAGAAGAATGAAGACAGAATGAATGGTGCCTACTAGTCAACAAGCATCACTGGCCAGTGAGTCAGAGCGCATGCGCAGTGCTTACGCTCTGGATGCTGCTCAATATAGAAAAGCAACCTGCCTGTTCGCCAAGGTAACGTTTCAAAGCAGAAGAAATGCCTCGAAATAGTGCATCCGACATGCAAGATGGAATGTGTATTGCCAGCGAAATGACCAAATGTGCGGACGCCGATGCTTCTCCGCGCTCCGATGGTTTCATCTTCGGTCCAAAATGCCACTTGCTTAACTGACATACGAGGATAGAGGCGTAAATAGTCACTGATAAAGGAAAATCAAGCGAATCTACAAATATGAACGGGACGCTGCTTAAAAAGCGAAGGCTGGACTGTGTGTATGCGGTGCTGTTGTGGCTCCATCACGCTGTGTGGCTGTGCTGTTCAGCGGCCGAAGACCATCATTTCAGCATTGAGGTAAGACTGGCCCAACATCAGCATCAGCATCTTCAGCTTGAGGCATGAACACAAAAGCGTATGTTGAGAATACGCGTCCTGCTTTTACTGAGACCTACAAGAAGGGGATACATCGCAGGTCGTAAATAAATCAGGACAGCACTTGCACAGAATCACATTGAATCACCTGGTAGATCTGAATGTGTGCTATGCTATATACAGCTATTCTGTTCCAGTCCAGTCTAGTTTAGTCTGTACTCCGTAGACAGGAATGCAACCCTGTTCTGTTATTTCGGTATAGTAAACAGAAATGCTATAGTCTAGTCTGGATTTGCCTATTAAGTAATTCTATGCACTGAAGAAGAAGAATGCAATTCTATACCGTTCTATATTTCTGTATACAGAGTAAAATGGAATAGAATAGAAGAACGTAAAAATAGACTAGACTGGAATGGAAGAGAATATGCTTTCTGTTTACTTTGTATAACAGATAAGTGGCAATGCATGTGTTTACCTTCTATTACAAAAAAGAACGAAGTAGAATATCATTCTATTCTATTCTGTGATTTGGCGTACTGAACTAAATTCATTCCTATTCTGTAATGCAAAGCAAATTGAAATGTTATTCTATTCCATAGAGCCAATTCTGTTATTCAGTGTACTGAACAAAATAGAATAGCAATCTAAAAACAGATTAGATTAGAATAGAATGCTATTCTTAACCAGAAAAGAATAGAATGCTGCTGTCCTATAGAAAGTAAACAGAAAAGTCATTCTATTCTGCCATTCTTAGTAACAAGTAGACAGCAATTCTATTCAATTCTATTTTGTTCAGCCTATTCTCTAAATGTGTGATGAGTAGCCTAAACATGAATTCTGTTCTGTTCCATTCTATTTCCTTGTATCGATGGACAGAAATGCTAACTGAAGTATTCCTTTAAACATGCTTCATACTTAATTGTGCATTGTTACGCAAGTTAATTCACAAGCTCTTAACAGTGCAGACCTGAGGCTTGAGTGAGAGAGAGATCAGCAACAATCAGAGATATTGCTCCTTCCTCTGGTCCAAATCCATTCACTCAGAGATGACAATCACACGTCTCTGACTGGCCATGCGACGGTCAATGGGGTGATAGGGGAAGCAAGACCTCGAATTACTCAGTGCTACTCAACCGCAGACTCTTGCGATAATGTGAAGCACAAAAAGATTATGTAAGTTGCTTAGCAACTCTCCCCCAAACTCCTTTGGGCTGGAATGTGCGCAAATGTGATGTTTAGTGCTGCTGGCAGCGCTGGTTGACATTGAGAGAATTTGTCACCCGCCCGGTTCTGTTTGGCTGGGAGGCGAGTGTTGTAGAGGGTGCTGTGCCAGTGGATCAGCTCATGGTGGACATGGTATTGTCATGATAATATTGATGCTCTTTTAGAGCAGGCAGTATTGATGAAACTGTCCTTCACAAAATTATGCTAAGACCAGTGGAACAGAGCCATCTGAATGCTAAATTAGTGGTCTTCACTTTCTTGGTAACTAAAACCTCTTTCTTCTTTTCAGCTCTCTGCCACCCATGTAGCTCCTGTGTGTTTTTTTTTTGGTTTGTTTTTTTTGCTGGCAGGGCTGCAGTGGTTGGCAGCAGTTGTGAGTTGAGTGCACAGGTCAGTGGTCTTTAGGGAAGAAAGAGAATGTGTGTGTGAGATGAGTAATGACTGCTCGGAGGGGGGACCTCTGATCCTGAACTAGGAATAGACTAGAGAGCGCAAGGTTCAAGGATTCAGCGGTGAAATCAAGATTGGGCCCCTTGGCTTTAATTATGCACGTCTTTCGCATACAGGTGCAAATGTGCTTAGCTTGTGCTTAGTCGGTAACAACATTTCATGTAGCTCTAGCTCTATATGTGATTAATAGGGTTGTTGCTATGTGCTATTGACCACTGAGCTACCGTAAACAGTCATACATCTTATTAATGGTTAGGATAAGAGGGTGTGGGTTTTGTGGATTATAGAAGTGGACATAAAAGTACAGACCTTAATCAATTGTCATCATGATGTCATAAAAGGAGTAAAGTAGTTTATGAGAATTATACTGCCGCTTGCTAAACATTTGTGCTATGGATGAATATTGACTTGTCCCTCCTTTTCTTTAAAAAAGGTTGCAGTGAAACCTTTTTTTTTTTTGGTTGAATTGTTGGTGAGTGCGTATGCATTCATACAATCTCTTTTGTATATTTGCATATGATCGGCTTACTCCCCACTGAGAGTTAGGTTTAGGAGTGGACCTTCATGCTTACTTTTTTTTAAGAATCATGTTTTCATGATTTAAATTGTACAAATTCATACAAATTCATCACCAATTCGCCAAGATGTTAAACAGTTTTCTCTTGAGACTGGGTCGGAAGCATTTACAATGGGAGTAAATGGGGCACAATTGGGAAATTTTAAAATACTCATTATTTCAGTATAGCCACTTACACAATATGTGTTCAAATCATAGAAATTCATATGAAATCATAGAAATTCATATGAATTCTGCACCAATTTGCGAAACATTATTTTATCTATATTATAGATCAGTTTGGAAGCACTAAATGGACGTTAAAATATTTCAGTAGTACTGTATATATGTTAAAGCGTTTTAGTGTAAAAATAATAATAATAATAATAATAATTAAAAACAAAAACATGTTCTAACTAACATTCACTGTGTAAAGTTTTCAATTTTTTGGGGCAAAATTTTGATGACTGAGCTCAACTTGTATTGAACATGAAATACTCTTTTAGATTGAGGAAGAGCCTTAGAACCGGAACACCTTAGCAATGACCTAGAAACACCTTGCATCAATTTGGAAAATATGGCAGCTTATTTGCACAAAGAATTGTTTGCCTGAAAACAGTAGCACATTTTAGTGCTTGACTTCATTGATTGGCTTTTGCTGCAAGATGCAAATGAGAGAAGTGAGAGAGAAAGTGAGAATGAGCTACAGAGAAAGAACAAGTGAGACAATGCTGCAGTGGAAAGAGAAGAAAGACATGCTGCTTTAAAACAGATACAGAAGTTGTATCCTGACCAGTTTATGTTAATGCAAAGCATGTCGTTTAGAGTAACATGTTAGTTGTTTAAAGGGAAGTTAATGTTTTAAAAAAGGCTACAGTAGAAAAAACCTGCCTGTAAGTCTATATAGCTTTTATTATATTTTTATTTCAGTTTTAGGTTGAGTTATTTCAGTACATCAAGTTCATTTAACACTTATTTAATTTCAAGTAATAATGACATTTTTTTATGTTTTTAATTTTAGTTATATAACTGATATAAATAACTAAACATTAAAACAGACACTATTAAACACACTGCAATTAGAACACAACAATGTTACTGTACTTATAGAATATATATAAAAGCACACATCTCTATCTATGAAACTGCAGCCTCTCGTCAGATGCCACACTCAAGACATTATGTATTTATGATGGATTTTTCATCTTGGTGGATACACTCAAGGGTCTCCATAAGGAACACGGCAGAAGGATGTTTTTCATCATCATCTCGTCATGCCCTTTTTCTGTCTGTCTCTGCCATCTGGTATAAATGTGGCAGCAGATGATCATTTTCATGTTGTCATGGTAGGGTGAGATTGTGACAGGCTGCAAACCACCACCTAATGACTAAGCACTTTGAACATCAAGAAAACCTGTCTTAGCCTGGCTCGCTTTTGAAATCAAACCCCATGTTTTAGAGTACTTCTTGCATGTGTATTATGGACACATGTATAGTCAGTTTTCAGCCCTTCACCAAAAAAATCAAATCATCCTTTTGTTTTGCATCTCATCTTTCTGTGGGTAATATTCACTCTTGTCAGATTCTGCAAACAGAAATAATTCAGGTCTTTTAAGAATGTAATCATGTCATTAATAAAGCCTGTATTACTGTAAATACTATAGACACATTTTGGAGAGATCATTTTGGCTAGTTAGGATGAAATTTGTATTTCTGTCAACAGAAGATTTTTTTCTCCCAGTAAAATATTAATGGTCCCTCAACTTGCAGTGTTGCAGTATTAAGCCAATTAGTGAAGTGGGTGGTATACACAAAAGTAAATAATATGGTATTTCTTCTAGCAATATACACCACGATTTACACATGTGATTCAAAGACATCTGGTTTAACAGTACGATATGACTTGGAAATTATAAGAAGCATTATTAATAAATATATGCAGCTTTTGTATTAAAAATTGAGTCACACTTTATTTCAAAGTCCAATTTTCGCTATTAACATACCATTAACTATGAATTTTTCATCATTAAACTCCTAATTTGCTGCTTATTAATATAAGGTAGTTGTTAAGTTTATGTATTGGGAAGGATTGGGGCTGTAGAATATGGTCACATAGAATATGTGCTTTATAAGTACTAATAAACAGCCAACATGTTATTAACAGGCATGCTAATAAGCAACTAGTTAATAATGAGAATTGGTCCCTATGCTAAAGTGTTACCAAAAATTGTAAAACAAAATCATACATCCACCCAGAATAAATTATGTATTTCATAATACATTTGGACAACCAGAGACATTTAGTAAGATACAGAATCAAACATTAAGCAAAATATGGTAATATCAAGTGATGTTACAGTATGTTATGTTTTAGAAGTTATAGACTCTCATTCAAAAGTTTGGGGTCTGTAAGATCAACATTGATATTAATAAGAAATGTTTCCTGAGCAACAAATTAGAATGATTTCTGAACAAACATGTGACACTAAAGACTGGAATAATGGCTGCTTAAAAACCAGCGCAAGAAACTACATTTTAAAATATATTAAAACCGAAAACAATTATTTTAAATTGTAATAATATTTCACAATATTATTGTATTTGTGATCAAATAAATGCATCCTTGGTGAGCATTAAAAAACTACTTCTTTCAAAAACATTAAAAAAAAAAACACACCAATCTTCTGAATGGTAGAATACATTGTATTTTATATCATTTGAACTAGACTGTAATTTTTGTGCATTGCTTTCTTTTTTCTCCCTTTCTTTTGTTCTTTCTTTGCTTGGTTGGGTCAATAAATAATTACACTTGAGAAAAGACAGATCAGTTGGCTCATTCGGATGAAATTCCTTTGGTTGGGGATGCTGGAACACTGTTGGACCGCAGAGAAGATGTTAATTATACAATCATGTTTGCTAGATGCTCCATTTTTCACCTATTAAGCCTGTTTTTCCTCGCATTGCTTTATTTATGCATAAACATGAGTGTGAGAGCGCCTGCGTGTTTACCAGCAGAGCAATCTTAGGTTTTATTCGACACACATTGAGTATATTAACGTGGCAGATTTTCTTTTTCTTTCATTGACATTTTTAATGCGCATCAGTTTGGCTGAGCTCTGTATTTATAGCTTCACAAGAGAGTGATTACAACACCCTGAGGATGACAAAGTTGCTTCTATCTATGACTCTTTATCACCATGGCTACACCCTGCCATACCAGACCCCCGCGGCTCTATGGCACATCTGTGTTTTCTTCATATAAATTAGTAATCAGCACTTGTGTTGGTTAGAGACGCAGGATCTGATTAGTGCTTGAGAATCAATTTGGCTCGCAACCGATTTTGCTTTCTCATAAGGACAACTAAGCCTGCACAGAATATAACCTAATGTCCTTTTACAAGATACATGTACAACACTAATATTAAAATAAATGTTTTTCTTATATATATATATATATATATATATATATATATATGCATGTATATCTACATATCATACGTGTACATATACAGACATTCATATTGAATTATTGATTTATGTGGCGGCAGAGCACTAAAACGTTTAGTTTGCTTTTTGTTTCTGGATTGTTTCAAAGTATGTTTGACCTCAAGTACATTATCTTAAAAGCTCTTTCCAGCATAATGTTGTTTGGAATGAAATGATCTTAACGTGCACCTTCAGAATACCACTCTTCTCAAATCACAGCTCTCATAGGACGCATTACAACAGGCCATTACAGTTCACGGCAACAACAAAGAGAGTTCATAAAATGTTCTTTTGCTCACACTTAGCGCTCTCTAGGCATGCCTTTTGCTGAATTCAGAACTGTATACTAACTTACTACCCTTACTATTCCTGCCATATGGTGAAAGTACACTCTAAAAAATGCTGGGTTGTTTCAACCCAAATATGGACTAACCCAACCGTTGGGTTAAATTTTTACATTAAATTTTTAACCCAAAAGTTGAGTTAGTCCATATTTGACCCAAAGTTGGGTTGAAACAACCCAGCATTTTTTAGAGTGTAGTAGCCTATGCTAAATGAATTCCGCCATTTAAATCCTGAGGCTAGCTAAACTAGCATCTCTGGAAGGCTAGTGTGATACATGTTAAAACTGATGATGAAACTTTAACTGCACTAAAAAAAAATTCCATCCGTTAATAAACATGACTCATTTTGAGAGGCAAGACACTTTATAAATCTTGTTGATGTCAAATATCATGCGACATCCCTTACGACGATTAACCATGGTTAATATTCGTAAGGGATGTCCAGTCAAACTTGGCAGTACTTTGCCAGAAATTCATCAGTCATTTTGCACCCTTGTGAAAAAGATGTACACTCTAGCATACTTTTAAAAATAGTACATAATACAGAAATAACGCTTTAAAATAATACTTAAGTGTGAACTGATGTGAGTGTGAATGTGTGAATGTTCTCTAACACCTAATTGCATGATTTATGATTAAACAAAAAGGTATACCTTTAATAAATTAAAGTGTAAATTTAGATTCAATTCATTTAAATTGAATTTAAGTGGGTTTTGACCAACTTATGGAAGGACTTAAGTTCATCTTCTTAAGTAATTTCATAATTACGTCTATTGTCTTCATATGGCTAAAGTGTACTGTCAAATGCACTGACAAGCATTTAGGGTTAACTAAAATAAACTCATTTCTACTGAAACTATATGTCATGTATTTAAATATATTTGTAATTACACATTTATAATGGTGAAGTTTATAATATATTAAATGTAATTGTAACAAAAAACATAGTCACTCTCTTCAAGACCACTTTCAAAAGGCCTTTTATTTAATTAATATTATATATTTTTAGTACAATACAATAGTTTAAGTACAATAGTTTTTTTAAAATATACTTTTAAATTTTTGAAGTACACTACAAGTGCACACCTTTTAGATACACGGATATGGCTAATACAACTATAATATTTAGCCCAATGTTTCTCCTATGTGTTTGCATGGTGAATCACACTTCTGCTGCTGTTTATGCATATGCAATATTGTTAATATTCTTAATTTACTATAATCATGTCAGTTATTTGCATATACTGTTGGGCCTGGTTCATGTTAATCAATTGCAACGTTTGATTATATCGACGTTTTTGTTACTTTTGTATGCCAAACAATCTTGGTGTCATGTTGGGTTACCATTCAATGTCCAATATACAATCTCGGCTTGAGAACAAAACCATCTGAGAACCAGGATAAATTGAAAACATGTAGGCTTCTTTCCATGCCTTGTGAGGGCATGTTTAGCTTCTTATTCTTTGTTTTGTTGTTCAGGCTACAGCTGAGCCTTGGGGTTTAGCTGAGGACATGTTGTCAGGTTACATTTGTTCTGTCTTTTGCAGTCATGGTTACAGAGATATGGCTACCTCCACAAGACACAGCCTAACATGGCTGTCCTGCGATCAGCCCAAACCATGCATTCTGCTATTGCTGCCATGCAGCACAAGTATGGACTAAACATCACAGGGAGTCTAGACAAGGAGACAATAGAGTAAGTACTCCTAAGCACACAAACAGTAAAGTCATACATCAAGTGCACATATACACTGTATATACTTACTACAACATATCAGGCCCATTCTCATAAAGCTCTGCCGTTTGTGTATGAAAATGGCATTGCAAAATGCCAACTGTGCTTTTATTGTTACATGTTTTGTGCAAAAGCTACTTGACCCTGTAACATTCCAAATGTTGCAGGGTTGAGTTACTAAGAAGAAGGTCAATCCAAAAATGGCTAGAAATTGTCTTATCATCACACCACATGAGTAAACATAATGACATACATTATGACGTACATAATGATATTTAGTAAAAAAAAAAAACCTTTGATGTCCCTCCCTGTGACATTATGCCAGGAACAAAGAATGAAACATTGAAACCATGTTATTTTAATTGCAGTATAGTTTTTTTTTTTATTGATGTAAACCATTGAACTGTAATGGTGATGAACAAGGACATACAAATTGGCAGGTTTTTACAAAATTTCAATAAAACATAAGCGCTATCAAACAATATAATATAATAATATAAATAAATATAAGTCCAGTATCTATTTTCCATGGTAATTATATCAGTAGTAAATAATGTTGACAAAAATGGGACACAAATGACACAGTTTCCTAGAAATGAGTCATCAATGAAAGAATTTCATGTTTGATTCAAATTAATGACCTTTTCTTTGGACTGAACGTTTCAACCCTGGTCTCTGATGTTTAGCTTGGACACCATAAGCCATTTTCCAATCTAAAATGTTTTCTACTGCTTGTGTAAGTTTTTCAAAGAGGACTGCACTGTGTTATGAAGCATGAGCACTCTCTGCTTGACCTTGCAGTCCATTTTATTCTGACTTTAAACAGTTTGTTTTATTCTGTTTGTGTCTTCATGTTATGGTTTATTGATGACAAGTTAAGATGAGGCACTGATTTTCACATTCAGTGACATAAATACATATATTATCTTTTATCTAAACATCTTGTGTTAGCGGGGTTTGTAAATGTTAATTAACGTAAGCTGTAATGATGACATTATGTAACTTGCAGTAAAATAGAACAGCGGGTTTCAAAAGCAATTTTTCATGACACTGGATACTGTGATTTTGATGACTATAATTTGGTGCTGAATGTCTGTGATATATGTGCTTGTGCATTTTTTTTATTATGTATCTCCAGAACTGTAATCCAGTGACTTCAAGTATTTCAGAATATACACCATTTTAAAAGTCTAATGAGTATTCTGATGAATGAACGCAGTTATTTTTAAATCCATTCTAACACTTTTATAGTTATGCCTTAAAGCAGCAATGTTAGCTAGCCTAGTTTTTAATGTGATGAAGGTCAGAAATGACCTCTCGCCTCCTCCCTTTGCTCTTTTTTTCTCCTCTAGCTGGATGAAGAAACCCAGATGTGGGGTACCAGACCTGCTTGGTGGCATATCTGGATCCCACAGGAAGAAGCGCTATGCACTAACTGGACAGAAGTGGCAACGCACACACATCACATACAGGTTAGAGAGAGACATGATGCCTCTGTCAGTGTTAATGATCATAAATACAGCACAGACATTAACAGACAGAACTGTGAAATGAAATGCTTGAAATTTATAATGGAGCTTTAAATAAGTAGTCTTAAAGGTACAGTTGTCCTGAAGGCATAGTATACCAATTTTATGTAATTCTGTTTATTTTGTTTATTTTCCATAATTATATTATGGAAAATAAATGCAATAATCAAAATGTTACGTTAAAATTATTATTCAATATGCATGGGCAGTATTACATAAATGTTTACGTTTGAACATATATAATTTCCAGAATAGTTTACTCAAGAATTACTTCAATCTTTCCCCAACAGATGCACATGCATATTAACTCTTTCCCCACCAGTTTTTTTTTTTTTTTTTTTTAAGTTGCCAGTCACCACCAGCATGTAACATTTGTACAAAATTGTGGCCCCCAGATTATATAGTTTTATGAATGTCTGAGCACGACCATGTCAAATGTAAGAATAGAGCCTCTGCTTATAAATAAGTAAGTAAGTAAGTAAGTAAGTAAGTAAGTAAATAAATAAATAATTCTAGCTGGGGTAAGTTGAAAAAAAAATTCAACAAAAAGCTGAGACATTCACATTTTTTTCAATGACTACGCCTAGATCTAATTCAGAACAATGCTAAAACATAGATGGAGTACATCGCGTCCATCAACACCCCCAAAGCTTGCATAGTCTCCACTTCCTGGGTCAGCATTTCATTTGGTAACGTTAGGCCGTTTTAATGTATATGCTGTTTAATGTTGGATGGTCACTTTATTTTACATATTGATTGTTTCTGCTTTTGCTTTGCCCTATTTTGATCCAGGGATTCAATTCTCTTTCAGAAGATGTATACTAGCGCCCCCTACTAAAAATTTCGCCAGTGGCGGGTAAAGAGTTAATGTGAACTGTATCTTTAAGACAAGTTAAGTTTAAAGGGGCGGTCACACCATACTTTTCAAACCAGTGATTCCATTCATATCCATGCAAATGTGGGAGAACGGAAACACAAGCTCATGTGAAGAACTTTCACATTTCACTGCGTTCTAAAAGACTAAAATACTCTGCAGAGCGTCCAAAGAAATCTTTCATGCTTAAAGTCTAGTGTGACCACGGCTTATTCTTTACTTTGGTTGATGTCACTTCCTGTTTACATATCATCTGACATCTTGTGTAAATACTGGCCTCTATCAGATGTTTAACTCTTAAAATGAATTGTACTGAATTTTGATAAACCAAACCCTGATAGGTTGAAACAGACGGACGTGGCTCAATTTGTCCCGTCACTGCCATCCTATATGCTGCACTGCAATGAAGACACAGCCAAGCATATAATAACCTCCAGCATTCACTCTTTAACCTTCAAGAAACATATTTGAATTCCCTGAAGATTACCTTCTAAAGGGCTCGGAGGAAATAGAGTGTTCTCTCACCTCAATTTAGACTTTCCCGGTTACAGCGGGCGATAACGGAAATGATTTATTCAAATCCTGCTTTTTTTAATTGATGGGCCACCTATGCAAATGGAATGTAAATGAAGACAGGCTTGGCAGTGAGTGACTGGCCTCTATAGAGAAAAGTCAGCTGAGATTTTCAGGGCCTCTCAGTCTGTTAGAGGAAGATAAAGACTTCGATGTGGGAAATTCAGCAGAGATGCCAGTCTAAGGGCAGTTGGTGCAGTTCACTTTGGAAATGAAAATGCTCCCTCCTTTCTGTGATATTAACACATCATAATAGTAAGAGTTTGATAGTGGGGGATTTCGATCATATTGAAGGTTTTGATGTTAATATCGGATTAAATGTGGAGAACACAAACTCAAAACACACCATTTATAGCACATACGAAACAATGAATTGCTGAAGATACTACAGACACTCTAGCAGAGACAAACTCTCCCTGGTACCAGAAGAAACTGCAACATTACACTTTACACAACATTATGCTAATGGAAAGCACTTAGTAAGACAAATTAATTAAAGTGAAATACATAATAAAAATACATTATTTTAGCAAATACAAATATTAAAAGATTAGGTCTTTGTATGGATAATATGATTAAACAAGAACACTGGGGGGAAAATCATAAGTTGATAAAAATTATAGATAAGACAGTCAGCTTTGGTCTGAGTTTTTAAGTGAATATAACACAATAACATTTATAAACTCAAAAGTAAGTGATACAAATAAGCTTGCATTTGAAACTGAATATTAATATTGCACATTACTGATATAAAACATTATTTTGGCAGACTTTACACAAAACAACTTAAATGTGTCTATTATTCAAGCAAATGTCTAAGGTTAAGAGTTATCTCTACGCACTAAAATAATTACATATTCTGAAATTGAAGAAGAAAACAATAACTGACAATCAAAAACAATACAGTTGTAGATCAGTGATCAAACTAATTTATGTCATTTCAACTTTTTCTATTATTAGACAGTTTTCTCAAACTTGAAAAGTTTGTTTGGCCAAATTTAAGAAGGATGTTTTGCAGTGTATAAATTGTAAATGGCATGTTAAAATATCTCTTGGATTCATGATGTTCCAACAACAGAAATGTTTAAAAATTATGACAGAATTATACTTTTTGATGAGCTATCCGCACAAAAGCAATTCACCAAAAATAATGAGTAGAGTGTATAACAGTTAACTATTAAGAGTATAAGTTATTTTTCTTCTTACTTCTTTTTACTGGAAACCACCTTAAAATAAGCTCACCAGCACAAAGATGTTTTGCGCAGTCATTGTCTTTATGTAAGGGATAATGTACATCCAGCCAGTTGTTATCTCAGAATAAACCCGACAGGGTGATCAGGTCTTGTATCAGCCTGAAGGGGTTTATTCTGAGATAACAACCGGCTGGATGTTTTTACATTATTACATGGCTAAAAAGATTGGTTTTTACCATATATGTTGAAATTAATGCTGAAGTCTTCCATTGTAACACGCGGTGGTTAAGTGTTTTCAGTCACAAGATGGTGCCAGACAGTCAACGATAGCGGAGTGACTCGTTAAGCATATAAGTAGTACCGGTCAAGATAACTCGTAGTACCCGGATGAGTGGTGTGTTATTCAATTTGGCAGTTGTTATCTGGGAATAACATACCGCTGGATGGCGCGATTGACCAATCAGAATCAAGTATTCCACAGAGCCGTGTAATAATGTCTGTTATGGGGCTTGTAAGCCCGGAAGTACAAAGCTTTAAAGGACTGAGGGGCAATACGAACCAAAAAGCAAGCCTGAATCAATCCATATATTGGACTTTGTCATGGCTTAGTGTTTATATCTACTAGTAAACATAGTTTTTTTCTTTCTTTTTGTTGTTTTTAGCATTAAAAATGTCACTCCTAAAGTGGGAGCACGAGAAACACATGAGGCCATTCGCCGGGCGTTTGACGTATGGCAAGGTGTCACGCCGCTACGCTTCGAGGCCGTGCCCTACAGCGCTCTGGAGAGTGGCAAACGTGACGTCGACATCACCATCATCTTTGCCTCTGGTTTCCATGGTGACAGCTCTCCTTTTGATGGAGAAGGAGGCTTCCTGGCACATGCTTATTTCCCAGGGCCGGGCATAGGGGGCGACACGCACTTTGACTCAGATGAACCCTGGACACTGGGCAACCCAAACCATGATGGTGAGAGAACGGCAGGTTAGGCCACATTTTCAATTTCAACAATTAACAAATAAATGAAGTTGCTGTTTCAGCAGGAATGTGAACGTGACAAAGCAGCTAAATCATTAATGACATCTGGAGACTTTCACAAGCACCACTGAAAAAAAATTACAATGTTTTACAGCTAAAGCTAAGAGTAATTCTGCAAAACAAGACTCAGAACTTATAGATCCTTTACATGCAATCTGCTAACGATAACATCATTTACTACACGGCACAAGCTGATTGGCCTCTGCTGATTCTGCAGCCAATAAGGTTGCTTGCACAACATTGGTTAAACACTGATTCAGTTGTTCGCTGTAAGCTGGTTCTGCAGCGTGTTCCTCTGAATCCCCCACCTCCCCCAGTTCCACCTGTCTGGTTCTGCTACGGGATTTATGTATGCCTATTATATCTAGTCTGCCAAAGACAAAATACATTAACATTTTCATATTCATTACCATGCTAAAAGTATTCAAAGAGTCATCATGATTGAAATATCCTTAAATGTTAGATGTGGTAACTTCTGTTCTAACAAGATATCTGTAAATATGTTTTATTCGCCCTGTTTTCATTCATTGCACTACAGACATGTCACACTTCTAACATTTAAAGAGCCCATTCTAGATTGTGTTGGTGAAGTTGCATACTCCCAATAAAGTCTGTCAGATTTCAATAATCTTCTGCATCCTCCACAAACGACTGCTGAAATCCATCTGTACGTGGTATTTAAGTGCATACTCAACACCGTATTCTTTAACCAGCAGCCACTAAATGTATGTCATTTGTTAACACTTTACAATACTGTTCTATTTGTTAACATTAGTTAATGCATTAGGTATCACGAACAATACTTTACAGCCAGTAATGATGCTGATCAGGTTCTAAACCAATGCAAATAATCAACGCTATCGTTGGTCGCACAGGGTATTCTTCCCTTACATGTTGATGTTTGTGTGCATGTCAGGTGTCAGCTTTGTTTGATATGTAGTATTTGCGTTATGGTTGTACCCATTAAACGAGAGGTAATCAGATCCGTCTCTTCACTGCGAGCTGCACTTAGAGGCACTCAGCTTTAATTACCTGGGCCGACTGGATGCAGAGAGCTTTTAAGATGCTCATCTCCTTTCACAAAATGTCTCAGGCAAGACAGTAATGAATGGCTGCAACTACATTCGCTACTGGCATTTTTACTGCCGCCTGCACTCAGGACCCTCGGCTGTTTGTTTTGCTGCCATCTCTGATGTTACACGTGCATGGCATAATAGCTTCCCGTGGTTTCAGGCTTCATTAGAGTCACCACAGTCTATATGGACCACACACTGTGTGGTTTTCTTTCTTTACATTAAGCCTGATTGGCATCAACATGTTATAAAACAAACAGCAATTAGGAGATTATTTTTAACAGGTGATTTAGAAGTTAATGCCTCCCATTCACTTCACTCACTGCTACCAGATCAGATTGTACAAAGCTCCAAAAATGTACCATAAAAGCACCATAACAATAGTCGGTTACACTTCATTTTAAGGTGTCCTTGTTACAGTGTAATTATACATTTAGGTACTGAGTAATATTATTTATTTACATGTACTTACTATATGGTTAGGGTTAGGATTAGGGTTTGGCTTAATTATGCACAATTTATTGTTATTATAGTAGTAAGTACATGTAACGTGTAACAAGGACACCTTAAAATAAAGTGTTACCCAGTAGTCCCATGACTCATGCGATATATGCTAAGTGTTTTGAGACCTATATAGCTGTAGGTGAGGAACAAAACCCACATTTTGATATGTTCAGATGTTGTTTGAATCCCCTGTGAAAAAAAGAAGTTCACTTTATAGCACAATTTAAAAAAAAGAGTACTAATTACGGAAATACTATTCTTTTGTCTTTGAAATATGGTTAAGTATACTTCTGAATGTACTAACAAGCATTGATGGTAAACTCAAAAATACTTTAATGCAACTTCTTAAAACTTATATGTCATGTATTTAAAATATATTTGTAATTACACATTTGTAACAATTAAGTTATAATAACTTTGAATGTTACATCAAATAACACACCGCAGTTGCAATTAATTTACATGTGTGTTAGTATGTTAGTCAACACATCAATATAATCACAAAAAGATTATTAAAACAGTGATTTAAAATATACTTTTAAACTTTTAGTTTGACATTACAAAATGCACTTGTTAAGATCGTCTCTATATAAGTCCATTTAAATATGCTTTTATTTAATTAATATTACATGATCTGCAAGTACAGCTTTTGAAAAATGTACCTTAATGTTTGAATTACACTAGAGGTGCACATTTAATACAATTCTTTTTCTGAGAAGGATAGCTTACATAACATTTTCATTTATCATTAGGTCAGCATGGAAGATATTTCCAGTTATATTGTTGTATAATACAGAGCAATGTGGGATCTGTTTTGCATTCTGTTTCCAAAGCTACTGTTTTCTGTCATGCCCACACACTGTACACATGAACATTACAACATTAAGATGGTTCTCAGATCAGGCACTTGAGTGGTGAATCATAATGCCAGATGCTTCTCAAGATAAGAGTTCAAGCACAGCAAAAAACAAAGCAAATCTTGTGATTGTATTTTCACTTGTATTTTATATTTTCACTGTTGTTTCTATACTCCTTAGGTAATGACCTGTTCCTTGTGGCGGTCCATGAGCTTGGTCATGCTTTGGGACTGGAGCATTCTAATGACCCTACGGCTATAATGGCTCCATTCTATCAGTATATGGACACCGAGAGCTTCAAACTGCCTCATGATGATCTACAGGGCATCCAGAAAATATATGGTGCGTTTAAACCTCTGGTCCCATAATCCACTGGCTTGCACATATCTGTTTACAGTAACACTGATCAAACTTACGGTTAAGGATTTGAATAGAATGGACAACAATAAGGCTAAGCCATATCATATCGACCAGGTTATTATAGAAACATGGTTGTGAGCTTATTTGACTTATTTTGCCAGTGAGCAACTGCATTTCAACCAGAACTACCTCACAACACCACAGCAAACCCCCAGGACACTCTAACAACTGCATAGCAACACACTAAAAATGTATAATTTGTATTACTCTTTTTTTAAATGTACTTGATTTAATTTGTAACTAAACTTTTAACAATTTCATGTGTAAGAAAAGCATATGTACTGTATTCTTGAAATAATTTACAAAAATGTTTAATAAGGGGTAATGGTGTTCTGTTTTTATTCAAAACACACACAAAAAATGCAATTTATTATTTTTTTTTTAAAGAAATTCTTGAAAGGCATAATCTCTTATTATTTTTCTTTGGGAAAAGAAATAACAAAAATTATGCGCTGCTTGATAGTACTTGAAATAATTGCCAAAACACATTCAACATGGCAAATAAATTAAATGAATGAATGAATGAATACCCCTGCAGACCCTCATGACTGTGTCAAGATCAAAAAGCTTCTTAAAATATCTTAAATGTTTACCTTTTATGACAAGAAAAGGTACCTGACTTTTATTGTCATTTAATTAATAATAATTTTATTATAATAATAACTAATAATTTTTATATTTATAAATTAATAATTTATAATATTTGTAAAAAGTAAACTTTTTATATTGGTAACATTTTACAATAATGTTCCATTTGTTAACATAATTTAACATGAACTAACAATGAAAATAATTCTAAAGCATTTTTTTTATCTTAATGTTAATTTCAACATTTACGAATACATTATTAAAATCAAATGTTATATCTGTTAAGTTACATCTGGCATTTAACCTGAACTGAACTAACAATAAACCAATGAACCACTCACATACATTGAAGAAGTGAGGAAAATATGTTATTACTTTTATCTCATGACATTTTTAGAGTCAGTACATTTCTTGAAAATGGAATACACGTTTTACACAACCACATGAAATACAAAGTATACATTCATTTATTTGAACTTGGCACATGTGATTTCAAATACATCTTTAAAAGATGTTTTCTTTATTTGACACTCTTTTTAAATTATTTGAATTTTGTATTCATTCTGCAGGTCCTCCAGACAAAAATCCTCAGCCTACAAGATTGCTTACGACCGCTACGCCTCCTCGCCTGCACCTACCAACTGACCCTCGAAAGCATGACCGACAGGGTCGCCCTCATCGCCCTCCGCAGAAGTCAAAACCAGCCCACCCCAACTCCAAACCCAACATCTGTGACGGAGGTTTCAACACTTTGGCAATCCTACGACAGGAGCTGTTCGTCTTCAAGGTATGAATAATGAAAAGCTTCACTGAGAATTAAAGAAGCATAAATTGTGTGTTTCCTAACACCAGTACACTCTTATTAGGATCAGTGGTTCTGGAGGGTGCGAGATAACTCTGTGGTGCCTGGATATCCGATGCAAATTAGCTTCTTCTGGAGAGGTCTGCCTCCCAAGATCGATGCTGTCTACGAAAACAGTGAGGGGAAGTTTGTCTTCTTCAAAGGTAAGATGTTTTTTCCTCCAACTTTTAAATCTTACAGGCTAAATATAGACGTGAATATGTGAAGGAAAGAGCTCAGCTTTCAGGATCTACTAAGGGCATTTTCACACCTGGTTTGTTTGGAGTTAGTTTCAGAACCTGCATGTTTTCTCCCTTAGTTCAGTTCATTTAGGCATATATGAATACAGCAATTGCCCTCAGATCCACACCAAAATAACTGATTGAACACAAACTCTGGAGCAATTTGGATGTGTTGAGAAAGCATTCTGACCCAGTGGACCAATGAACCAAGCTGTATTATCATTCATAATGGGACATTTGTTACGTAAAAAGCAGCAGTGTCTGATTCTGTGGGTGAGCACATTAGTTAACATAGTTCATCTTAAACTGTTGTGAACTTGATGTGAATCTGGCCATCATGAATGATGGCTACATTGACAATAAACCTGTGGAGCCAACTTCTCGATGAATGATTCTATGAGGGACATAACACGGTGTAGAGGACAAAAAAACAAAAACATTTTGGCATGCTTTCAAATGCTGCCTTGTCAAAGTGAACCGAATCAAGAAGCAAACAATCTACAGGTGTGAAAACAGCCATAATTATCTTCAGTTTTATTATTATTACAATCAGTTATAAATAATAATACTATTATTATTAGTAGAAGAAGAAGAAAAACATGCATGCATTTTAAACACTATAGGCAATCTTTTCTTTTTCTCTGCATTTCTGAAGGCAACCGGTTCTGGGTGTTTAAGGATACAACTCTACAGCCCACATATCCTCAGGACATTTCTCTTTTTGGCAATGGGATGCCCACACAGAGCATTGAAACAGCTGTTTGGTGGGAAGACGTGGCCAAAACCTATTTCTTCAAAGGGGACAGGTCAGTTTTATAGCTTCTAGCTACAGTGTACAATGGGACCCAGTGGACACCGCCTTCACTTGGCTGTTCCATAATATCTGAAACATTTTTCTGTCTCTGTCTACTATTACAGATACTGGAGGTACAATGAGGATATGAGAACCATGGACCCTGGATATCCAAAACCTATTACTGTGTGGAAAGGCATCCCAGACTCTCCACAGGGAGCCTTTGTGGACAAAGAAAGTGGTGAGACATTGAAATGATCCTATAGCTGACAATACAGCACCTTGCAAAAGACGCCAAACCAATTCGCTCATATTACAAATCTAATTTTGAAATATAGCCATTGAGTTTCACAGTACTGGAACTCACAATTAATTATTGCTATAATTGCATTTGTATTGGTGCCATGGCCTGGTGGTTTGCACATATGCTCAGACAAGTTGAGTTGTGACTTTTCATGTAGGTTTTATTATTATTACAACAAATGCAAAATGCTTAGTCTATTAACGTAAAATTGTAAAAAGGCCCAAAATTGTTATTAGGGGTGCTCCGATCAGGATTTTTGAGGCCGATCACCAATCGCCGATCACAGAAAGCATACCGATCTTTTTAAAGCCTTCTTTTTATCATTTATAACTATATATAGTGATACTCCAATCAGGATTTTTAGACATTTATTCAGGGCCTGAATTTCATTTTTGAAAATGGGGGGAATTCCCCTCTTAGTTGACTCTTGTGAGAGGAGAAGCAGCTTTAACTTAGGGTCCGCTACTGAATCATGGCTGTTTACCACAAAAACAACATTTATCCATTATTTTGATTTCAAATCCAAACATTGTCACTGAAAATGCTTTTTCAGCATTGCAATTCTTTTTTCACACAGTACAGTAATACAATATTTAAAAGACATGTTTAAACACAATAAATATAAGCAACACATTATTCAATGCTTTTTAATTTTGCATTTACTTCTAGATTTATATATTAAGTTGCTCAAGCAAGTGGCAAAACATTTAAACTACTTTTCTTATGTTATCACAAACTTATCATTGACAGAAATAGTCAGCTCTACTGCCTTTCCTTTTTTATTTAAATCTTTATTACAAGCAATACATAAAGAACTTTGTTTTTCTACCTCCACGAGTGGCATCTATTATTGCCTTGTTTATCTAAAAGTGCTCTTTCCCTTTAAACCTACCCAAAAAGCCATATGTGTTGACTGTGAAACACAGTAGACTTTAATAATATGCATTTGTGGTGTAATTGCTACATTTTCGTGTCAATCCATGCTCATACTGAAAACAATGCGCTGTTACTTTAATTCAGCGCTTGCAGCGCAGCAATAGACTCGGTGCGGAAGCGATCTCTGCACTGCTGCAGACGCACTGCCGGACCGCAACTGTGTGCAGTGAACGCTTTAATCCGTTAACTTGAGCGCGGGAAAAATACACACCGCATACGCACTGCTGATCAATCATCCCAAAGTGATCGGTAGCCGATCAATCGGAGCATCCCTAATTGTTATGCATACATATTTTTTTAAATATCTATTTAAATGTTTTTAGTTACAAAGTGAAATATTCTGTTTTTCATAACTACACAAGGACAAAAGTATTGGGACACATCTTTTAATTATTGATATTCCATGGTCAACTGAAAGTGGTATTATTGGAAAGTGGAAGCATGTAGGAACAGCAACAACTCAGCCGTGAAGCAGATGACCACGTAAAGGTCACCAAGTTCTGGGGTGCATGGAGCGTAAAAGTCGCCAACACTATGCTGATTATAAACTTCCACTGGCATTAATATCAGCACAAAAAAATGTGCATCAGTAGCTACATGCAAGCTTCACTTCACCAAATACAATGCCAAGCATTGTATGGAGTGGTGTAAAGCACACCACCACTGGACTCTGGAGCAGTGGAAACTTGCTCTGTGGAGTAACAAATCTCGCTTCTCTGTTTGATAGTCTGATGGGCGAGTCTAGGTTTGGAGAATGCCATGGGCCCATTCTTCGTACGTCGCTAACTCAGTTAGCTGGATTTGATTGTTGATGATTTGGCATGATCTTGGATTGTTTGGTTCTTCGAAGCTCATCCCAGAGTTGCTGTCATAGCAACATGTCCGTAAGCTTAAACCTGCTTGGGAGCTGGCTTATTTCATGTAAACAGGATTAGATTTAATCTTTTTAAGCAGATGCTTAAAATCTGTCCCAGCCACCGCTACTTTATTACAAGAGTATCCTACTGATCCAGGCACAATAATTTTAAATAATAATAATTAAAAAAATTATTTAAAAATAATATAATAATATTGTGTATCTATAATACTATTGACACAGCCAGTTTTACTCACTGAAAGATTTATTTGTCATAAAATAATTACTTCATAATTGTATTAGAGTCTTACACACATGCTATACAGATAATGTAGAGTCGTGCATTAATTTGAGTGGCAGCTATTATGGGAGTGGCTTGATGGAGCACAGGAGATGCAGATAACATGATCTTGACCCTTAAGCAACTAAAAAAAAAAATAAAAACAGTGCACATTTTATTTATCTATTAAAACATTTATGTAGTTTTGTTCACTTGGCTGTTTCGTTATAAAAGTCCAGAAATGTGTCAAGTTTTTGTTTGGTGTCTTCTTTAATTATATGATGTCATTACGTTGCTGTCTTGCCACCAGTCAGTCGCTGCATTGCTGTATCGATACATAACCCCTTTAAAAACCAACCCATGAATGCGCAATTATCTCAGATAACTCAATCCAGCCATACTAATCATCAAGAACAGGTGCGTTCGAAGAACCGAATTAGCCAGATCCTGATTAGCGTGATGATATCATCTTGGATGTGACATTTGATCTCAGATGTAATAAGCGACGTACGAAGAACGGGCCACAGGAGAACATTACATGCCTGACTGTATTCTACCAACTGTAAAGTTTGGTGGAGGTGGGATAATGGTATGGGACTGTTTTTCAGGGGTTGGGCTAGGCCCCTTACTCTCAGTGAAAGGAAATCTTAATGCTTCGGCAAAGACATTTTACAATTCTATGCTTCCAACTTTGTGAGAAAAGTTTTGTGAAAACCCTTCCCTATTCCAGCATGACTGTGTCCTAGTGCACAAAGCAAGGTACATAAAGACATGGCTGGATGAGTTTGATGTGGAAGAACTTGACTGGCCCTCACAGAGCCTTGACCTTAACCCCAGTGAACACCTTTGGGATTAACTGGAATGGAGATTGCGAGCCAGGCCTTCTCGTCCAACATTGGTGCCCGAGCTCACAAGTGTTCTACTGGATAAATTGGCAAATAATCTCACAGAAACACTCCAAAATCTTGTGGAAAGCATTCCCAGAAGAGTGGAAGCTCTTATAGCTGCAATGGGAGAACCAACTTTATATTAAAGTCTATGTATTTAGAATGTCATTAGATGTCCCTAGTCAGGTATCCTATTACTTTTATTCATATAAGTGTATATCACCACATATAAGTATATTGTTGAGCCATTAGACTGTAGAAATGCTTTACAACTCTTTCCATCACAACATCCCTCCAGAGTTTCAGGGTTTAAGTAATTGGTTCACTCTGGAGGACACTGTGTTTACTGGCAGAAGAGAAGAAGTTTCTCTGAACTATGTTCTCTGTGCAAGTAATGAGTCCTCACATGTGTCTTACGGATCTGGTGATCTCTGAGCTCCTTCACTGTGATAATTGGCCTCTCTGTGGCTTCTCTCACAAATCTCTTTGTTCATGCTGAGTTTTTGAGGGACAACCAGTTCTAGGCTTTTAATTTAGGTTTATAACATCTACTGTACTTCTTCATAATTGAACCAACAGTGCCCGATGGAACCTTCAAACACAAATCATACCTATGTTTTATTTTATTTGGAATGGCACAGGTACAGGCAATTATATGGCAATGGTGTCTTTGTTTTTGCACCATGCATTTTCAGACCTGATAATATGATGACACTCTTGGAGTACTCTTGGAACTTGGAGTACCATGACCATTATATATGTATTACTAGTAACAACTAATTGACTTGAGTTTTAATGTAATTAGACATACTGTAGTTATGTTTTCCAGTATGCATAGTTCAATATGAGCTGTCTTCCTTTTCTCCTAAGGATTCACATACTTCTACAAGGGGAAGGAGTATTGGAAGTTCAACAACCAGAGGCTAAGAGTGGAGACAGGCTACCCCAGATCTATCCTGCGTGATTTTATGGGCTGCGACGGCTTACCTGCCGACCCCGACTGGGACTGGAGCCCTCCAGAGGAAGAAGAACCGCCACAATATGACAATGATGACGTTGATATCGTACTCAAGCTGGAGAGCAGCGGTGGAGCAGAGAAAGCGGTGGCCATCGCCATCCCCTGCGTCCTGGCCCTGTGCATGATGGTGCTGCTTTACACCGTGTTCCGCTTCAAGAGGAAGGATACGCAGCGCCACATACTGTACTGCAAGCGATCCATGCAGGAGTGGGTCTGAGAATTAAAGGTCCCACTTCTTCTGCTAAAACTATTTTCATCTTAAAAATCCCTTCAAATGTCAAAAATTGGCTCATCTTGAGGATGCTGACTTTATGTCGGTATTTGTTGGCAGAAATGAAGGACGACATAAACGAACAGCATGCCAACTTCCTGTTCCCATTGTCAGCCTTCGTAGATGGCAATGTGTCGTTTTTGTTTGGTTTTGGAACTCTGTGTGGCTTTGGCGGCCATTTTGGTTCCTAGAGTCCAATGCGGGAATAAACTGTTCCTCTACAAATCATAATTATTAACTTTTCAATTGATTTGAGAATTATTTATCATCGGACTGCTGATCTAGATACTCCATAAAGGTTGAACTCACCTGTGTCACTTCAAAATACTTGCTTGTATTGAAAAAACTGATACCCAAACCAAATATGCCCTTAGTGTCCAAAGAGGATTGCTTCATTCACATGGAATATTCTGAGATCCCTCTGGGATTATCGATGACTGGCTTATCGATCATTATTTGAGTTCCATTTGGCTGCATTCATCTGCAGAATATATGGGATCTATCTACTTGGAAATCAGAGGGACCTTGACATATAACATCGGGGCTACATGCAATATTTCGTCGAATGCCTTAATCACATATTGAGTTTATTTTTCTGTGTGTTAGTGTACATGTGTGAATGTGACCCCTTTCCATTAATTCCTTTGCTTATCACTGTTCTTTTGATGCACTACTGACTGACAGAGACTTGCAGTAAGATGTGAAGTGCCGCTAACTGTTTAAATATTTAATTGAAAACAAGTGTATGGCTGGCGTCCATGTTCTGTGCTGCTGCGTTTTTAAAAAGACTCTAAAGCTGCAGTACAGAACATTAGACTTTTGGTTAAGTGCTTCCAATCAATTCATAGGGAATTTATTAAACGGAAGAATGCCGTTTAGCAGAAATACCTAATGAACCTTCCTTGAGAATCAGATTATCAACCATAAAAAATAACACGAAAATGTTAAAGTTATATATAAAAACACTTATATTAGCAATGTTTTCAATGCAATATGTAGGCTAGATTTGCATTTCCTGAACAAAATACTTGTGCTTGCAAGGCAGCTAGTGAATTGTGGTAAAGTTTTGGGTAAATTTAGCATTTGAGCTTTGGTTCGGTGAATGAAGCTGCATCATCAGCACCACTCATGTATCTTCTGTTGACCGTGTTCGAGAACCAACCAATAATATAAGAAAGTCTTTGAGGTGTAAAGCCAATATTGACACGAAAACTCCATATTCCATTCATTATTGTGCATGAACACAGTTGTTCGACACATGCACACTAGTAAGTTTCATCTTTATTCAGTGTCTCTGCTACTTTACTTCACAATTTACTACCAAATTATATGTAATATCCAATTAATTTAACCTACACTGAAATGCACACTTTGCTTTAACATCACACAATTTTGAGGCATGTGAGTTTCTGAACATGAATGAGTATCAAATACTGCTCCGAAGTGCACATGCTCTCAAGTGGCCAAGACCGCAAGTGTGGGCATTGGAACAATCTGTGCTGCTGATAAAATGTATACTGTACGCATACCCTAGAGTATGAATACAATCAGAAGTATACAATAAGCTTAAAAATAATGTATCCATATTTAATTTGACACAATTCAAAAAGATGCAGTGAGGCATAAAAATACAATCTGTTCAATGGGTTGTACCTCACTGTCAATCATTCAGCTGTCAAAATATAGAAAATATATTTTTTCCAAAACATTTCCAGTGGAAACAAAACTTTAAAATTTTACAACTTTTTGCACGTCTATCTTTCACAGCATTTTTTTTAAATTTGGGTCAAATTAAATATGCCTTTTATCCTGACTAAGGTATATAACATAAAATAGATGCTAAGAACAGGCCAATGAGGATGCGTACTAATGCAGAAAGTTGACCAATCCCTATAAAATAAAGACATTTTTTACATAAAATAAATACATTGACAAAAAATACTGTTTTGAGTCTAAACTATTTTATAATTTTACTTAAACATTATCCTGAAGCTAAGAAAACAGTTCATTATTATGCACAATTAAAATTACAATTACAAAGACAAACACTGCGATAATACTGCAGTAACATTAAGACTGAAATCCCCTGAGGTCATTTTCACTCTAGTCGATAACTGAGATGCAAGATGGGACTAGTTGTGTTTATATGAAATTAGAAAGAGTATCCCTGGTGTGATATGAGAGACATGAAAGTAGTGCCGTTTTCAGTTACCCAGATGAGTGGTCTGATATACAGTGTTGCTGTAGATGGTGAATTTTAGGAAACATTGAATGCTTAATGCTGTGATTTACTAGTCAGAGAAGAAGCACAAAAAGAGAACATCGCTGCCTTGCAAACACCCAAAGTTTACTTGATAAAGTCCAAGCTTGAGTGGCTCAGTTACTCTTTTCAGTGGCTACTTATTTCAGGCACAGTTTTGAGTAAAATAGCATATGTTGCGCAGCTAAAGGGAACTACGATTCTGTATACTGCAATCAGAGAACTAGCTTCACTGCTTATTTCTGCTTTCCATGTAAAAATATTTGTGATCATTCTCAGAGTGTATCCACCACTAAATACATCAAATGTTGCCGTTTGATATTCCTTTTGAGTGTTTATTGGAAGTGGAGTGATGTATATTGTCATATGCCTTGTTTTATCTTTCGTTTTATGAACTGATCTATAATGGACTGGTGTTTCTCGCTATGCCATCAGCATCAGCCTTCCAGTTGCACAATCATGAGAAGTGCACATGAATTTCCATGCGTCAACTGTTGTTTTCATTATAAACAGAAGAATATCTCAAGAATATGCCCTGTTCTACCTTTGAGGTCACTGAGTATTGGATGTGTATCTGAACATGCTGTATATATATCTCATATAGTGTCTTTATTACGGATATGAAAGGCACATTATGCAGTACATCAATAATAAGATATGATCTATTATCGGATGTGGCGTGTGAATCATTCTTGTGAACTCTAATGAAGAAGTTAACAAAATGTACCAGGCGACCATAAGACATTGACATGTAATGTATCCCTGAGATTCATGAAAGGTTGTTTGGATGATATAATAAAACAGTTATATATTAAATAATTTTGCTGACTCATGAAAATATTGTCTCTGTAATATCACAACTTGTAAGGGGGGACTTAATGGACCAGTAAGATCCTGGGGAAGGTATATTTTTAATATGTGTGAAAGAAGTCTCTATTATTTCAATTTAAAATAACTGTTTATTATTCTAACATATTTTGTCAATTATTTCTGATGGCAAAGATGAGTTTTCAGTAGCCATAACTCTATTCTCCAGTGTCCCATTATCCTTCAGAAATCTTTCTAATATGCTGATTTGGTGCTCAAGAAACATTTATCAGTTTTTTTCTTCTTCATATAAACCATGATACATTTTTTCAGGGTTCTTTGAAGAATAGAATGTTTAAAAAACGGTATGTATTTGAAATAGAAATCGTTTGTAACATGATACGGTCATTACTGTTATTTTTGATTAATTAAATGCATCCTCGCTGAATATACAGTAGGTATTAATTTCTTTCAAAAAAGTTTGAATAGTAGTCTATATGAATATACACTTTTGCGTAGGATTTTTAAATTCATCCATCATGCAGATACTACACTGCCTTTATTTTTTTTAAGCAGTGTAATATCTGCACAATATTGCAGTTCAACAGGACAAACTCACTCATTCCAAAATAATAACTACCTACACTAATGTTTTACGTTCCTCCACCAATTTGGAGGACCACAGAACATATCAACCTGCTGGAACTATATGCAGTGTTCAGCCTAGGGGTCTAACTTCTCATTCTACTATGGCCATTTCATCTTCATTGGCTCCCTTTAGAGGGGTCACCCTGGCGGGCATCTGCACTGCTGCTACCTGGGCTTCACTTTGTACTTTTACCAGGTTTGGTCACTGTGTTCAAGAAATCAACAGATATGTCTGTGATTGGCTGCATTGCTCATAGCTACAAAAAGACATTGTAAATAGAAACCTTTGACACTCTCCAGTGCACAAACACGCAGTGGAGCATTTGCCAAATCTCTTTCGCCAGAATGCTATATATTGTTACAGTTTCAACTGACTATGCTCTTGCTTTCATTTTTGTAGCACCGGCCCTGTAAAGAGTCACAACCGCATGTACAGAATATTAAGCATTAAAAAAATGCTTATGATTTTCAGAGTGTTGAGACATTAGAAATATTTAAATAATAAACTATTTTATCAGTGTCTCGTGTTAATTCAAATTTCACCAGTATTTACAAAATTACATATTTTTCTAACAGCTGTCATTTTGAAAATTTAAACAGGCTGTCAGTTTTCATTTTAACCATCTTGGACTTTATTTATATTTATTTGATCAAAGTATGGTTTAAAAAGTTAAGATTGTGAAAAAAATTATTACAATTTAAAATATCAGTTTTCTATTTGAATATATTCTTCCTTCTTGTGATGGCAAAGCTCCATTTTCAGCAGTCATCACTCCAGTCTTTAGTGTCACATGATCTGACAATCCAAAAACTTTCTTATTATCACAGTTGAAAATTGCTGTGTTACATAATGGAGTGTGGAAAACTGGCAAAGTGTTTTTTTCTACAGGATTCTTTGATGATCAGAAATTTTGAAGAACCGCATTTATATGAAATAGATGTTTTTTGGCACAGTTCTAGTTTATTTGTAATGATTTAAACCTACTGCATGGTAGACCTTTTCTCAGAACTAAACCATTTTCTTAGCCATTGGTCTCAAGATAATTGGATGTAGCGATGTAAATTCACTATATGTTGCACAAATCATATACTGTACATTTATCCTTTTATAATTATAAATCTAATTATAAAACTAACAAAATTTACTTAAAGTGCCCCAATTATGGGATATATATGCTAACAACACACACATGATTTTTTTCTTAACCTTGATTTAAAGTGCCCCTATTATGGATAATGAAAGGTGCATATTTTGGTTTTGGGAGTCCCCAATAACAGATTGACATGCATGCAAGGTCAAAAAACACTTTTATTGTCTTATAATATGCATTTATTTTTACCTTACTTGCTCAACAACTCCCAAACAATTTGCTCAAATATTCATTTTTCCAAACCACTTCTTTGCGTGACGCTAATCTGAGGTGATTGGACTATGCTCTTGCTTTCATTTTTGTAGCACCGGCCCTGTAAAGAGTCACAACCGCATGTACAGAATATTAAGCATTAAAAAAATGCTTATGATTTTCAGAGTGTTGAGACATTAGAAATATTTAAATAATAAACTATTTTATCAGTGTCTCGTGTTAATTCAAATTTCACCAGTATTTACAAAATTACATATTTTTCTAACAGCTGTCATTTTGAAAATTTAAACAGGCTGTCAGTTTTCATTTTAACCATCTTGGACTTTATTTATATTTATTTGATCAAAGTATGGTTTAAAAAGTTAAGATTGTGAAAAAAATTATTACAATTTAAAATATCAGTTTTCTATTTGAATATATTCTTCCTTCTTGTGATGGCAAAGCTCCATTTTCAGCAGTCATCACTCCAGTCTTTAGTGTCACATGATCTGACAATCCAAAAACTTTCTTATTATCACAGTTGAAAATTGCTGTGTTACATAATGGAGTGTGGAAAACTGGCAAAGTGTTTTTTTCTACAGGATTCTTTGATGATCAGAAATTTTGAAGAACCGCATTTATATGAAATAGATGTTTTTTGGCACAGTTCTAGTTTATTTGTAATGATTTAAACCTACTGCATGGTGGACCTTTTCTCAGAACTAAACCATTTTCTTAGCCATTGGTCTCAAGATAATTGGATGTAGCGATGTAAATTCACTATATGTTGCACAAATCATATACTGTACATTTATCCTTTTATAATTATAAATCTAATTATAAAACTAACAAAATTTACTTAAAGTGCCCCAATTATGGGATATATATGCTAACAACACACACATGATTTTTTTCTTAACCTTGATTTAAAGTGCCCCTATTATGGGTAATGAAAGGTGCATATTTTGGTTTTGGGAGTCCCCAATAACAGATTGACATGCATGCAAGGTCAAAAAACACTTTTATTGTCTTATAATATGCATTTATTTTTACCTTACTTGCTCAACAACTCCCAAACAATTTGCTCAAATATTCATTTTTCCAAACCACTTCTTTGCGTGACGCTAATCTGAGGTGATTGGTCCGATTGGTCTCATTTTCATTTCATCTTGCCTGTAATGCCTGATAAAGCAGAGTTTGTGAACGCAGTGCTGCTTTGTGTACAGCGTTACCGGGAAAACTATTTTTACCGCTCCTAAAGCGGCAGCTAGTGGCACAGAATGAATTTGCATTTTCATTCAGACCAACACCAAAAAAAGACCAACAAGTGGGCGGGCAATATGCTAATGTTTCATGTTGACGGCAACATGAAAGGGCTTGGGATTCGTTTTAAAAACGTCGACTCTTTCTTTTGAGAGACAATAACTTTATACACGGTGCACTTTCAGATTTAAAACTTTGCAGGATGTTTTGATTCACTTAGAGCTGCTATACACTGCATGAAAGGTAATTTTCAAAAATCCATAATAGGGGCACTTTAAAAATGTGCTTGTAGTGAATGAGACTCTTTGTTTTTGACAGCCCTGCTGAAAAAAAAACAATAGACACCATCACAACATTTGTAATGGTTTTACTGGTTATAATGGGAC